GGGACGGGCATAGTCTGGCGTCTTGCTGGGGGATCGCCGAAGCGGAACGGCGGAGCTTCTTGGGTTGCAGTAGCGGGTGTTTCGGGAGGTGGTGGAGATCCGCGACGGCCTGCTGTGGTGCTGGTAGACGTCATTCGGGATGGAGGAGGCCAGTATTGTTGGTGGAACTGGGGAAATGGGTTGGCTGCCCCGCCTGAGGGAGTCTGTGCTTCTGGCTCGGGGGTAGGAGGTTGAAAGGCGTTTGATGCTGGAGGTGAAGGCGTCGCACCCGATCGGCTGTCGCTGCGGAGTCGTGCGGGGCGTCCGGCGTCGCGATACCGAAAGGCGGGGGGTGTGGGATAGGCGTCACTGTGGACTACAGAGACGTGACGACCAACTCCTGAGGTACCGGCCTGGGAGTTGGATTCGTAGGAGACTCCGAGGGTTTCATACTGTGCCTGCTGCTGTTGGTGTTGAGCGATGCGTTCCGCGGCGGAAGGTCGGCGGTCGTTGGCCATGGCGGGGATGGATGGGTGGCGGTACAGATTGAGCGGGGGTGGTGAGGAGGATGACACTGATCCAACCTGTGAAATATCCCCTCCTGCTCCAGGCGTGCGCTTACTGATCCGCAGCGGCTCGGGAACTGTTGGTGATGCGGGAGAGTCGATGAAGACGTCGTCGTTGGGTGTTGGAGCTCTACCGGCTCGACTGGTGCTGGCGGGCATCGTAAATTAGATGGCGGGGTCGGGGGTTTCAAGGAGGGCTGCTGGCTGCGCTGCTGCACGAAACCCTCGCTTTTTCTGCTATCTATATCTGAGTGTAACACGACACGATATGCACCTTGCCAGATGGAATGGTGAAATGGGCGCTTGCGAAGCCCTTGGTATCGTTCGTTTTAGGGAGAAATTTCGAACCGGAGACCCTTGGACAGAAGCTGCTTAAACGATATGAACAGTAGAAGTGAAAAAGTGTTGATTTTCTAGACCATGTTCCTGGGTGGCTGCTGTCCTGCGCCGCAAAAGTGGGGAAACGATGAAGCTGTTGGTGCAGACGGGAAAATCGATGATGATATGGATTCCAAGGAAGATGTGTAGCGAAGAGAGGGGCAGGCGTACAACAGATGGGATATAAATTCCAGCGCTGCAAGGATACCAAGATGACAGCCAGGAGTTCACGAGTGCAAGCGACAAAAAATAAATACTTGGACGTTGTAAACTACCACTCCCTCAGTAGTGGTGACCATTTCACGATATTGGGAAGATCCAACAGACGAATCAGGATACCCAGGAGCTTCATAGCCGCCGAAGTTTTTTAGCACGTCTTGGGTCGGCGCGAACAGAAGTGGAAAGATGGGAATGGGGGTACAGTACATAGCTCGCGAACCGATGAGAAGAGGGGGCGATAGGCTGATCCACCTGCTTGGACCCGACCTGAAAGCATACCAGGGTCGATACCTAGGCCATAAGTTGCGCAGGACCGCGCAGAGATCGAAAGGGCTACAGAGCTACGTAACATATCTCCCCGCAAATAATCTTTGGGTTACGTAGCTCGGTTGCACCAACTTCTAATGTCGAACCACATGGCTATCTCTCGATATCAACATCGTCGGCCTTGAATTCTCCGACCATAAATCCCGCGATTCAATATCCATCTCGAAACGGCGCCATATCCTCCAGAGTTCCAGTGGCAACATCCTACACAAATGTTGCACGTTGGCTGCTTCAAACCCTTAGTCAACCGGAGATTGCGAAGAAAACTCGAGAACAGTTGGAAAGTAGCGTGATTCGTGAACGTCGGCGGTGGCTGAGCGTTTCGTAGTACTACGGTGGAGCATAGCGGGGTAGGAGTGATGTTCGATGACGGTTGAGGTGCCTTTCAGTAGAGTAGTCTAGTCTGTACGCGACGCCACCCGCCGTCAAGCCGCACCGCGCAGAGATGCGTTCCGGAATCTGGCCTATGAAGCCTCAACACTTCAAAACCTCAACACTCTGGCCGGACAAACGGTTAGAGATGTACATATCACCCCGAATATCCCCAAAAAGATACCCGTCTGTTCTACACGGATATAAAACCCCTCTATGCGAGTCAAAGTTTACGGCGCAGTTGATATTTCTTACGCAGGATCTTGGCAAGCTGTTTGTAGGTAGGAGACGAGAACCTTATAACTACGACCGGTGCCAAGATGAAGTTATGTAGAATGCACTTGCACCGCCACGATCCTACAGGCTCGTGCACATGAACTTGATAGTTTCAATCCAGTAGCCAATAATCAAGGAGGGAAATAATGGTACTTATTTCAGCGCGAAAGCTGAAGAATACAACAAAGCCATGTGTTTAGGTTGTCGTTAGGCTAAAAACATTATTCAAAGGTAGAAGAAACTGTAAGAGGGTGCATAAAATCCTTTGCTGCACAAGACGACGTACATCTACAACTGTTCAGCACAATCTCAGTGTTTCCCTCATCTCAGACTCATACCGAAACAGTGATTACAGCGAAGTTGATGTTGACATTGGATGAAAGTATCAGTATCTAGGTAGACAACTGATGGAACTTTAACCAAAGCAGGTACAAAACCCGGCAAACAACAGTGAAGAGCAGTTCCTGGGGACCAAATCAACGCCGCATCTTTGCATCTCCCTCTAATCTTATCGGCGCCAATCCCCCACACGGGTAGGGCTCAAAATGGTAGGAGCGAATACGCCGGAAACTAAAGAAACCCGGCTCCCAGTTACCGAAAAATGAACCCATCTATGGCGCCAAGCTAGGATTAAAGGGGATCATAGGGAGCTCCACTTTTACATGTGCTGTTGTTGAAAATTATAAGCGCCAAGTTTAACAAGAATCGAAATGTCAAGATCTTATGACTTCAAGTGATCATCAATTCACGTCCAAATTCGGCTAAGCACTATACTCTATCGTTGAGTCGCCATACGGCTGCCAAGATTAACCATCAACCTTATCCACCGTGTGGTACTTCTGGGGTAGCCGCTCACTCTAGACCTTCCTATGATTTACGGTCTGAAAATAGAACTGTCATCGCATGTATCCGAAATCTTTATTTTGAGTCTAGAGTTTAAGCCGGGTGAACGACATCCAACCCTGCATCCCGTAGCAAACAAGCAAAAACATCTGGATACAGAGGTCAAAGATAGCAACTAACGTTGATCATATACAGTAGCTCGCAAACTGCGTACCCTCAAGCCAATTATCATTCTTCATATCGTATTCCGGAGTCCGGACACTCCTCATCAGAGAGACCGTGGGGGGTGGGGTCAATGGTGCATCAATACTTATACTACCTCAAATGCTGTGATTCGTAGTCAGTCCTAAAATTCTGAAAAAGGGAATGAGATACAAACCTTGAGATTGAGTTACTTACTTATCATGGATTGCACAATAATGCGGGATACGTAGTGACTGTACTGAATAGCATAGTACGACTGGAAAACTCGTAACACTTGGTTGATTGTTAGCATCATGAAAGTGGAGGGAGGGGGGGCTGTGTGCAATCGAATCACAGATAACGTTGCAAGTTTTCTCCAACAGTCACATGCATCGAAAATGCCAGCCCTCAACCTGCGTACCCTTAAGCGGATTCTCCTCCGTCATATCGTAGTCCGAACCCAAGTCGACTGCCACCTCCCAATCAGTGGAACCCTTTGCTAACTTTCCTAAACACTACCTCCATAGCGGCATCGTCAGAGCGGTGACCCGTAGAGGCTCGGAGCAGGACCAGATGGTGGACTATCGTACGCTTTAAATTCTGTCATTTCTGCTTAGTACTGGCTGTATGAGTTGAAGACACAAGATGAGATTAAACCCTTCAATACTTGTTCGTGCAAATGAACATCGAGATGGAATAAATAACTAGCCTCAATACTGCATAGCCTCTTAAGCGAAGTATCTTAGTCGTATCGGAATACGGACCCAGGTTGACCACCACTGTCCGATCAGAGAGACCCTTTGCTAACTTTCCCATCCTCTGCCTCCATATCGGCATCGTCAGAGCAGTAACCCGTCACGTTCAGTGGCAAATCTTCCCAAGCACCGTGGATAGACATATCGATATTGCCCCAGTGGTAGAGTACGGGGTGGATGGGTCGATAGGTTATAACAAGTGGGCATCTGTGGGATACTGTTAGCACCGTGCGTTCGAATTGTAGAGAAGGATAACATAACAATCAAATAGCACGGAATAGAAGAAACGAAATAGTAGGTACCTCTGGTGGGGGGTTGACGGCAATAATCAGAAACCGGTAAAAGATATCTAGAGTGATGGAGAACAGGTGGAGTTGTGGTTGTATTGCTGGGTAGAAAGAGAAGCTCTGCCAGAAGCCCGGTGGAGGGTGTACATGTGGCCTGGAGCTTCCCGTAGGTTTTCTCCGGTTAACCCACTTACCCAGGGGACCCTGTCTCTATCTATGCCTCTTCTCTACCGCTACCGGTAACTTTGCCTGACGCTCCCGAGTGTCCTCCCTTCCCTATGTACCTGCATTCCTGTAATATGCATGTCGCCTTGTACACGGCGTTATCGAATGTTTCGAGCTTTGACGGCGACTTTTCTCATTCTTCGTTGCAACTCTTCGGCTCCTTATTGCTACGCGTACACACCGGATCTCTATTCGCCCATGGCTTTAAACAAACATCATACTGGGCGGACGGCCGTAAGGGCAAGGCATTCACCGTGCGGTCAGTCCAGATACTTGTCCTGCGACAAGTTCTTTGGAAGTTTGGTGTCATTGTTGCGATGCTTTCATGAGATGTAGATATAAGCTTACACTTCTTCGCCCCAACAGCAACAAGAAACCGCGAGAATCATTTGTAATATAGCAGGCCTTGATTAGTATTATCACCCTTGAGGACATAATCTTCAATGGTTACACCATTACATCATTACACATGTAGAAATCAAATATTGCCCGGTGTTACCCCTTTACAGAATCACTAACTGGCAAACTATCTGCACAAATCCTTACTTCTCGATGCCATAAACTCCAACAGCAGATATCAGTCATGAAGGGGTTGCATAGCGTGGTGTTTATCACGTTCACCCTACACGCGAGAAAGCTCGCCAGTTCAATCCTGGCTGCAATCATTTCATCTGGCGTTAGGAGTGGAAATGGAGATGGATGTGACGCATAGCAAATGCATACTCGTCTCCACATGGTATCACTCGATGTGACTTAGCTTTTTGATTAAACCGTTGCTTGAGCAGGGTTAGGATGTCAAAAATTTATTTCCCGCTTCTTGTAGTCTCTCGGTATAGTTTTTCCTCTTTATCTTATTTGTCCATATCGGGTCCTTTTTCGCCGCCGAGAGTTGCGGGTCATCATGTATCACCCGGATTGGATACGGATAAGGGTACTCATAATATGCTTTTGCAATCAACTATTTCTTTCACTACTTATTGGTAAATAAAAACATACCGAGGAATGCCATATGTACAAGTAATTCAAACTCCTCTCGATCGCCTGGTAACTTTTGAGTCCTCAGTTTGAACCTAATAATCTTCATTATTCTGTCTCCATCCCGTCTCCATCCGTCTAGAGTACACCATAATCTCATACCTACTAGCTTCCATCTGTTATAGGATCAATCAATAGTGCATAGTCATCGTCCTCATCCATCACGCATCTCTAAACTTCAAACTCCAGACTCCAAACACCATCCATATCCCTTCCGCAACAACTTCTGCCCTGCAAGGCTAATAAATTCCGTCAGACCCTACCAGATCTCGTCAGACTTTGCCAGAGTTTCCCAGACTTTGTCAAGTTGCTCAGAAATTCCTCCCAATTCCTCACGAGTTTCTCACAAACTTGAAACTCCCAGGCAGTCCGTGAAGTCCGAAGAATTCAGATCATTACAGCCCATTTACAACCCTGTTTTCAGAATTCGAAATCCATAAATCTATCCGGATCTCTGGAATCTGTATCATCAAGTATCAATTATCACTATCGTATCACCCCAGGTCAATTGGTCTCGCCTCTCAATCCAAAAATATGAATGCAAAACTACCGATAGCCATATACACCGGATGGAATAATGGATCAGAACCGAGGACTTGGAATCGTCTAGAACCAAGCTCGAGCGCTCCGAAAAGCTTAAAGAAGAAACAGAACCGACGAACGGCGAAGTAACCTACAGGCTATATCCCACTCCTCACCCCCCACCCCCACCACTTCCACACCCACCTCAGAACCAGGCTACCAACAAGTAGCCTTACCCGCAACAATCCGTATCCCTCAGCCGAGTGGCCAGCCGAGCCTTCAACTAAGCCTTACTGTAGTATGCTACTGTATGTACTCCAATACCACAATCTCACCCCACCACCACACCACGGTTTACCAGGGCTATGTACCATGAAATTTACGACCCCGCGAGTAACTAGCTAGGCAAGGCTACGGCGTCTCGCCTACAACCGATAACGCAGGACTATACATAGATACCACGTCATGAAGGGGATAAGTGAACCGTGAACGGAACGATGATTGCGGTGTTCGAGGTGTGGGGTATGTGGTGCGAGGAAATTGGGAATCGGGATTCGAGGAACCAGGGAACCAGGGGATTGGGGTACATAGATACGCAGCAATCGCGGTACTGGAATTGGGAATTGGGGTACGTGGGATACTGGGCGGTGTATTTAGTTTAACTTCGTAAAGATCTAGATCTAGCTTATAAACTTGTAGATGTATCACGTATCCCGTATCCCGTATTCAACGTTACAATTAAAGACTCGGTTGAAGTGCGAGGTCTCAGTCGAGGTCGAGGTTAGTAGAGAGAGGTATGTAGAGTAGATCTGTTAGTTGTCAACTTTGTCAGACCTTATCGAGCTTCCCGGCGCCCGCCGTCGGGTCTGCCGGCAGATTTCTTTAGCTGCAGATGTAGATGCAGATGCGGGACAGGTGTCAAGTTTGCTTCCTTTCCAGCTTCCTGCACCCCACTCCCCACTTTACACCCCACCCCGCACGCCCAAGAAACACGTATGTATGTAGTTGAGATTGAAAGCACGAGATCACTTGGGTTAAAGGCAACAAACGAATTACGAGGAGGGGAACAATTATAATTACATCGGAGAAAAAATTTGCATATATTCTTTATCTTAGATACAAAAAATCATTCTTTCTTTCTTTGTTTCAAATACAAAACAATCTTGTACTGTTAATCTCGTTTAAAAATGCTACCATCGTGTAAAACAGTTAAAAAAAAATCTCCCCAATTCTATCAGTAGATCTAGTTGTTGAAAGTCTACCTATCTGTTAAAATCTACCTCTCCGATCGTAAAAAGCAGTTAAAACATTGCATGCAAACAAATCATTAGAAATTAACCACCGTGTAAACAAGCAATAGACCAACAAACACAAACTCCGACCCAATCCATCACAACCAACCGAAACCATATCTTACCGGAATCCCATCTCACCGAAACCCTGTACAGGAAAGCCTCTCTAATTCTGAAGCTTGGCCATACGCTTCGACATAAAGTCGAAGAACGAGAACTGAGTCGGGTTGCTTCCGTACTCGTAAACGAAGCGAGAGGCAAGGTAGGACCCGAAGATCGCCTTGAGGTAGTTCTCTGGAACTCGTCCGAGGATAGTCTCAAGACCAATTCTCTCGATGAGCTTGTCGGGGAGAGCCTCGTTTAGAACACTGGTACGGAGAGCAACATTGTTCCAAAGATCAGTTTGCTGCAACTCCTCATCCAGGTTGGTAATGGCAACAGAAAGCTCGTCGGAAAGAATGGAGCGAGGCTTTCCGGTTTTCTCGGCCTCACGCCAAAGAGCCTCAAATTCAAGACGCGCGTTGTTCTGGATGGTGCGCTGAACGGTCTTGACATACTCCTTGTAGAACGCGGGAATTTCGCCATCGGCTCCGACGCACATGTCCTCTGCAAATCCCTTGTCGTCGAAAGCCAAAGAAGCGAGAACTTCCATCGAAGAGGAAGTGACTCCACCCTTGTTGGCAGAGGCGTCCTTGTAGAGAATACAACCGGCCTTCTCAAGTCTCAACTTGGCATCTTGGGTGATGAACAAGTTGGCTCCCTCGACAACGTAGGGAATAACTGATTCACCGTCTTTAATTAAGTTGTTAACGTTGGCGAGATCGATGGCTTCGGGACGTCCTCCACAAGGAACCATGATGTCGTACTTGATGTCGGAACGGAGATGGAAGGTGTTGCGGAAGATAGTTCCATTCACGACGACCTCATTGTTCGGGAGGGTCACATTGTTCTCGTCAACTAAGACACGGTAACCCTCGGGCGAAAGCTTGCTGATGTCAAACTCGCTGATCATCTTTCTGGCCTTAGCCAAGCGAATCAACTCATCATGGTCAAGTCCGTTGGTGTCGACAATAACACCGGATCCGTCGACAATTCCGACGTACTTCTCGTTGCTCAGAAGGATCTCGTTGGATCCCAAATCTCCGTCGGGTCCACCGGTCTGTAGCTTGCGAACGGTGGAGGGATCAATGTTGAGATTGCGGTAGATACCCTCGACGTACTGGCGAACCGACAAAGAAGTCATTCCGTAGACATCGTGGGGAATACCTCCGAGACGAGGAGACTTTCCAGTGAAGAAAGACTTCCACCATGGCGCACCACGAGCCTTGGCATGCTCAGTGGCCCAATCGACAAGACCCGCAGTGTTCTCATCAGGCCCCATGAAGAGGATCTCGGGCTTGTTGTGGAGATCGACAATGGGATCCTTGATTCCAGGGCTAGTGGGCGGAAGCAGAAGGTCCATGATGGAATCGATGTATTTTTGGAACGCTACCGTTGCTTTGTCCTGGTGATCGGCATCGAGGAGGATAACACCCTTGGATCCACCTTCGGGAATGTCCTTGTTTTTGCGCTGCTGCGTATTGGCAAGGTTGTAGTTCTCGTCAAAGATCGAGCGGGCATTTATGGACCATCCCTCCTTGTTGCGGGATTTGACAATACGGATACCCCCACGAGCAACATCCTTGAAGCGGAGATGGAAACCGCGGAACTCGGATCCGACGGTCAAGAACATTCCGAATAAAGGCTGAGGGTACTCCTTAGAGGGCAAGAACTTGGGGTTCAATCTGAAGGAGACGGCCATCTTTGTAGGAGTGTAGAAGTTGGTCTTCAGGATATGAGTGTTGAAGATGATGAACATCTTCATAACCTTCTCCTGGTTCTCATTCGCAACGGTACGGGCAATCTTTGTTTCGAGCTCCTCATTGCTGAGAACACGGTCCATTTGTAACCGCTGGTAAGACAAAGTAGGAATGAAGTTGTCTTGGTCACCGCGGGTCTGAACGTAGTGGGTGTTTGCGAACGACAAGTAGAGGGCGCGGACTAACTCGGGGTTCTGGTCGATGACCTCGAAGATGAACTCCGGGGTAAAGGTCTCTTGACGGAGACGACGCTTCAGCTTTCCGAGAATCTCGGCATGCTCCGACTTCTGAATGTCGAGCAACTCAGAGAGAGCCTCGAACTCCGGTCCCAATCTGTTCAAGAAGTGGGAGATAAAGATACTAGTGCAGTGTGCGTAGATAGTCTCCTGGAGCGACAATTCACCCTGGATGAACCGGTGCTGGAACATGTTCTGTGGGATACAGAACAGTAAGGAGATTTCCTTCATGATCTGCTGAACGGAATCATCGATGGGGGGGTACTTTGGCGAGCGACGTCCAGGCTTGGGAGGGAGAGGGCTGAGGTAGATGGACATGACTGTCACGCCGTTGGAGAACTGCTCGGTATACTTGCGGGACGAGGTGCAACCATAGTAGTGGTACAAGTCGGAAAGGGCGGAGAACATTCCCATAGTGCTGCGTTGCTTGTATCCAACAACAAGACGGCGCTCCTGGCTACCCTCAATCTCGTACATCTGGATGACCGGTCCGGTTCTGCGCTCGACTACCTGGGTGACTACGGATTGGTAAATCTTCTTGGTGTTGGGCGTCACTTTCTCGAGGAAAGTCTTGTCTGAAACGACAGCCAAGTCGGTCTCGCCTTCGTCGGGGGTAGGGTTGACAAAGTCACATTTGTAGCAGAAGTAACAGCGGAGGCGCTGATCGGTAGGGGCGCTCGCAATGAGAGGTGAATTCGAACGGAAGGTCTCGACCCTAAAG